CTGCGTCATGAATCCCATAGCCAACTGCTGAGTGCGGTGTTCAAAGTCTTTTTGTTTCCCCTTTTGCCGAGGCTGAGTCATCCACCACTGGAAAAAGTGAACTTCCCGTGCAGATCCGAACTGCTCGCGAAGAGGATGTAGCATTGATGCAACCCCGATAATATTTTAAGAACTTCCAGGACACTTTGTTTTGTCTTTTGACTTGAGCAAAGATTTAAAGCAGTAATAAACTCTATACGCCAATTTTATTTTGTTTTTAGTTGTTGGAAAAACTTTGCATTGCTTCAGATAACTTTTTTACTCTTACTCCTGGTTTGGCTTTAGTGTTTAGTAGTTTTTTCATGATGATTTAAACCTTGCAATCTCCTCATGCTTATTAGAGACAGATCATATCTTTTTTTACTCTATCGACTAGTAACATTTAGATCTCCAACATGGCCTTTAAATAGTACGCAAAATTGACTCTTGTAAGATTTAAGCCATGTTAGAATGTTACTTCATCTAAAACATACTTGGAGTTGTGATTTGTTTCATTCATACATGTTTGAGTAATCCTTTAGTCCGTCTACATCTCCAAAGCTTAAAATGTTCTGTTCCAAGTTTAGTAATTGTAATCGAAGAGGTATTTGGCTATAAAATACCCAATGACCCACGTGTTATGTATTTGGGCTTGTTGCATGAAAACAACATTCGAACGGAGGACTTCTATTTGTTTAAAGTGATGCTCTTGGCTAGTAAGAAAGTAATAACAAGGAATTTGCTGAAGGATGACCCTTTAAAATTGCAGCAATGGACAGATATAATGGAGGAAATATATAGGATGGAAAAAATGACCTGTTACTTGAGGCTGAAACCTGCCATGATCCAAATGGTCTATTTACAAAGCTCACTTGAATGTATGAGTAATTTTCTTTTTTTTTTTTTTTTTTTTTTTTTTTTTTTTTTTTTGTAGAACCCACACTGTTTATTCTTTTATGTACATTTGTTAAAATTTTGAAAAATCACAAATAAAAAGTAATGATGTGTGATGCCATGATGTGGTAGTTTTCAAGTTAACCTCGACCTTTCACCTTTTGTTCTATAAAGTTTGGCAATTCCAGGTCTGAAATCATCCAAATGATTCAAGTGAAAGTGTATGGACTTTAAAAACACAGTGGAGCACTTCTTGTGTTACCACACGTCATTAAAAGGTGGAACAAATTATTTTCTGTTTTAGATATGCAGGATATGAGTGAGAAACATGTGTGAATGAAATAAAACACAACTCCAGGTCTGTTTGTGATGAAGAAACATAATAAAATAAATCAGAAAATAGTGTAATATGGATCATCTAAATCTCCAAAATTCTCTGATATGTCGTTTCAGCTGACCACCTGACTAAAGGAAAGACATTCAACTTTTTGATTTGATTTTCGTGTGAATGGGCAGCTCTGTTATGGAGTTGCTGTGAAATAGAGTTGTGGATCAGTTTTATTCTTTTTCAGATATTAGCCGAGTTTATCTTGAAGTAAACTAAATTGCTGGATCTCTATTTCTTCTTCTTATTTTTTTCGAATATTGTTTCATAAATAGTATTGATCAAGTTCTTTTCAACTTTAAAGCAGGTCAATAAAGTTACCACAGACAGGAGCAATAGTTTTAAAGATGCACTATGTCACTTGTCTGTGGGAGGGTCTGTCATCAGTTTTTTTTCTCCGTGGAGACGTGCCTAGAATGTTCCACCATAAACTTTTGAATCACCATAGAGACTTGCAAGTTAAATTACAGGTTAGATTTGTGGTACGGCGTCCCCACTCGCAGTAAGAATGGATGTTTTTAAGATATTTTTGAGCAATAAATATGACCTGTAGTTGAATAAATGCAAGAAAGATTAGTTTAAAACCATGCTGTAGAGAATTTAAACCAAAGCATTAACATCTCTAGGTTGCTGGTCTCCTCCAGAAAAGTTACACAGTGCACCTTTAAGGATAACATATTAGTTTAATTAAAGATGATTTGTAAGTTGTTTTGTTTCATTAATCTCCTCTCAGTTACATAATAGACGTTGTGTTTTACGTTGTGTGGACTTTCTGGTGCAGATAGAAAAACTACACCAGCCTCACAAATACTTTTATTATGAATGTGACCTGTAGGTTTTTCTGTCTCTCTCCATATTCTGCATTATTTGAGCTCCATTAGCCTCCATACCACTCATGTTTTATAGACGGCGAAGACTTGATTTACTCTCTCAATGGTATTTCCAAACATTCCTGTCAGCTCTTCTTTCTTTCTTTCTTTCTTTCTCTCTGTCTCTCTCTTCTCTGTTTATCTCTCGCTTTCTCTGTCTGTCTCTATCTCTCTGTCTCTCTTTCTCTCTCTCTCTGTCTCTCACTTTCTCTCTGTTTATGTCTCTCTTTCTCTCTCTGTCTCTCTATCTCTGTCTGTCATTCTCATTCTCCCTTTCTCCATCTGTCTCTTTTTCTCTCTTTGCTTTCTCACTGTCTCTGTCTGTCTGTCTCTTTCTCACTGTCTCTGTCTGTTTCTCTCTCTCTCTCTGTTTTTCTTTCTCTCTGTCTCTCTCTCTTTCGCTGTTTCTCTCTCTATCGCTCTTTGTCTCTATCTCTCTCTCGCTTTCTCTCTATTTATGTCTCTCTTTCTGTCTCTCCTGTCTGTCATTCTCATTCTCTCTTTCTCCGTCTGTCTTTTTCTCTCTCTCTGTCTGTCTGCTTCTTTCTCTCTGTTTCTCTTTCTCTCTGTCTCTCTCTTTCTCTGTTTTTCTCTGGCTTTCTCTCTCTGCCTGTCATTCTCTTTCTCTGTCTCTCTTTCTCTCTGTCGCTGTCTGTCTCTCTCTTTCTCTGTTTCTCTTTCTCTCTCTTTCTCTGTTTCTCTCTCTGTCTCTTTCTATTTCTGTCTGTCTTTCTCGTTCTCTCTTTTTCTCTGCCTCTCTCTCATTCTGTTTCTCTCGCTTTCTCTCTGTCTCTCTATCTCTCTCTCTCTGTCTCTCTTTCTTTCTCTCTCTCTCCCGCTCCCTCTGTTTCTCTCTCCTCTTTCTTTCTTTCTTTCTTTCTTTCGTTCTCTCTCTCAGTTTTATCTCCACATGTTTTGAGCTGCAAAGTGATCTACAGTGACAGTGTATTTGTTCGTGTCAAGACATCCAGTCTCACCATCACTCGCTGCGTTTGTTGGCTTCTTTGTGGAGCAGCAGTCGTGTTAAAGGATCCTTTTAGGGCCCAGGCTTCAGTGTTATTTAGCATTCAGCCTGCAAGCCCAGTCCATCCCACTATCCAGGAGACGATGCCGGGGCTTTTGGTCTCCTCGACATGCAGTTTAATAAGGTCCATGGAAAAAAGTACTAACCAAATTCTTTTTAAATGGGATCACAGGACTGAAAGAATGTTTATAAAACCTAGTTTGAGATTATTAACTGTTTGATACAAAACATTTTTCATGATGTCTACAATTCTCTATACTCGACCATAATGAGCTGCCCAATCAGAATCTATCATTTGAAATTTTTGAGGCTGCTGCTAAAATGAAATGAAATAAAAAGTGGTTATTTTTATATAATCATACGGTATAAACATTTTTTTCACCATTTTCATAGTTTTGCTGTGAAGAACAATGTAATGCAAATAATGAAGGGGTTTTATGCATTTTTCTACCATGTTATAATATTTTTCCCTCATCCAAAACATACTGGAAGAGGTTTTAGATGTCTTGCATGTTTGAGTATTTTAGTGATCTCTCCCAGGTCCTACTCAAACCGTCCTTATGGTTAGACTTAATATTCTGTGCAATGCTCAACGCACAATCCTACATCATCCGTGCTCTCATGCAAAACACTCAAAACATGATTCAAAACTGACAAACTTGATGTGATGTGTAGTAGTTTCATTAGAGGGATGCGCGTTGATTGTGTTGTGATATCGCTTGCGAGGGGGAGTGACTTAACACGGGGAGCAAAGGGAAGGGAGATTCAGAGTGAGACTTATAAAACATGTTAATGTGTTGTTTTTGAAGAATATAGCATTTTTAAAACAACAAAAAAGTACTATTGTGATCAAAAAATTTTATGTGTTAATAATTTATACCCCACAGAAGTAAAATGCCAAGTCTTCAACACAACAGCCAATTGTATTTGTGTTGTAGCCAGTTGAATTTTTAAAGTCTTCCATTTAAGGAACTTGCTTTTGTGATGCGAGGAGATAATTTTACTGAAAAAATGTAGGTCTGCTCATTGGATTACTGGGTTGTAGTAAAAGCTAATGCTCCTAGGATCCTGCTCTGGGTACTCCCAGCACAAGTTAAGTTGAAAAAAAAAAAAGATTACCATATTTTCCAGGCTATTAGGTGCTCTGGATTATAAGGCGCACTGTCATTACATGGTCTATTTTTGAACTTTATTTCGCAAATAAACCGCACAGGACTTTAAACGAAACACAACAGTTCGATGGGTCAGTGGGACTTTGTTTGGTGCGTTCACGGTGACTCTGGGCTTTGTTCAGTTGTGGCCTGTAGGGAGGCTGCTGCCTGGGACCGCTGGATTGTCGGCGTGTTCGCAGTGACTCAGTTGTTCAGTTGTGTCTAGAAGTGGCACATTGCACTCGCTTTTTCGGTTCGTTCCTCCATTCCTCGTTGGCGTGGAGTGATGAGTGTGGCTGCTCCGTGTGTGTTTGCGTGCGCTGTGGGTGGTGCGACTTTGTAGTTTACTGAAGCCCGGAAAATACAGTATTTACTTGATTTTTTTTTTTTTTTAATGAACTTGATGCATTGTGTAACTTTTCTCCATGTTATTGCTTTGTCATGAATGTTTCATAGTGTGGTATTAAACCTTTTCAGACAGTCAGAATGCCTGTTATTCTAGGTATTTTTGAGTTATAACCTACCTGCAATTGAGTAAATATAAGGCAAAGCAGTTCACAGAAACAATCTGGTGATGGATCCCCAACCAAAAAGTTACACAGTGCACCTTTAAAGCCCTTGGAACAAAATTTTTAATCATAATTCATTTCTCTTGTCAGGATCTCCAGCCATGATTGAGGACAAGGGCCACCGCGTCACAGACTACTTTGTGGTGGCCGGACTCACGGACAAGTCCACTCCTCTAGAGCAGGACCTGTCTGAGGCCAAGTCTACGGGGCCCAAAGCTCCCATCACCGACCTCGCTGTGATCAATCGCTCTGCAGGTAAGGGCACCAGTAGACCACAAAAGTCACAATAATTAGTATATCGACTCATAGTAATAGTTGACAGAATTAAATTTTTCTTTTACTATGGATCCTACCTGGAGGACTGAGGGATTAAACAGACATGTATTGATCACATTTTAAGTGTGATGATGTCCCAGATGGGGGGCAAGGGCCTGTTTTTCCTGTTGCTTACATTGTACATTGTTCAATTTCCTTGATCTATATGTACGTAAATTAACAAATGTTAAACCAGTGACTCGATCCAAGAAGTCACTGTATTACAAAAGAAACCTACATTTTATCAGTATTAATTTTAGCTGCCCCCCCCCATTTGTTTTAAATATTTTTGGCCTGATGAATGTTGTGGTGTCATCTGTAACCTAGCAACTGACTTATTGTTCACTATAAGAAAGCTGTAGTACATGCGACAGTATTTTTTGGGGTCAGTATTCAACTTGTATACTTTTTCTTTGCTCTGTAGGGAAAATTGGCTATGATAATTTAAGCTGTGAAAGGTTGCATTAATAACTTCTATGACTCACTCACTACAGATGCAAACTTAGTACTGAAGTGTTTCATTCTGCTGTTTATTTATTTATTGCAGCTTTTTTAACAATATTGTAGATTTAGATTAGTTTTCTTTGGTTAAAATCTGCTCTTGGCTTATTGTGTCATTGGCATAAATTTGTTTCAGTATTACTGTTTATCGTCTATATTTACTTTAGTAACATATCACACTTCAAATTTGTTATTGTGACAGGCCTAGGACCAGATGAAACCATTTTAAACTTTTAAAAGGAATTAAATTTGACTCTGTGATGACAATTGCTTGATCAAGAGGAAAAAAGATCATAAATGGCGATTATTTTGTTCAAATAAATGTACTGAACTATTCATGTACAGTCAAAAGTTAACCTAAAGAGGAAAATACCCTCCTTATTGATTAGTTTTGTGATTCATCTTTTAAATGCCACTGGCTGTGTTTACATGCACGCCAAAATCTGATCATGAACTGAATTCTGGGTTTATCAGATGATTTGAAATGTCATGCCAACAGTAACATCTGATATAAATAATAATCTTCTGTCTTTCAGTCTGTCTTTCTGTCTCAGTCTTTCTGATTGGTCACACCTCTGCATGTTTGACAAGGAAAAACAAAAACAAAACGAAACCAAAAACTTGCAAGCTAATTTATTTTGTGCATTTGAACACGCCAAAAATTGATGTCATAATTGGGTTATCTTATTATTCTAATATCTAGCACTTATTTTAGTCATCTGATTTGTACTGGCCATGTAAAATACTCTGTATTTGGAGTAGTTTTTTTCAGCTTTTGAGGGATATAACAAGTTCTCATACTAAAGCATATTAAAGAGCCCATCTTATGCTATTTTCTGGTCTGTTATATTGTTATTTACCTAGAGTTACCTGGAGTTTTGTTTCTTTCACACATTTTTAACACACAAACCCTGCATTTTTAGGCTGTGTTCTTCTCTCAAATAAAAATACTCTATTCCACTGTGGTAATGTGGTATTGCAGAAAGTGTTCTACACACCTTCACTAAAATAATTTGGATAATTTCATCTCTGGAATTGCTTGTATTGCTTTGGAAACAATGCATACCTACTTATCTCTCTTACTTTTTTACATTGTTGGGTTTCCATGGAATGTGATAATAGATATATTAAAACACAAACTCCATTTAAAGATGTTTGACATTTGATGATTATACCAGACACATATTGATCCTTTTGGGCATTCATGTCAATGATAGCTTTTGGTACTATACATTCTTCAAATCCATTCTTGCAATACTTACAATTCCTTCTGATCTTATGCAAACCACTATGTAAACATGTAAAGCATCCAAGTTATTTCCGACTTTTAAACAAAGTAAAATATGCTGACGCACTGAACACACTGAAGAGCTGCTCACGTGTGTCTGCTTGCAAAACTTCTAACATTATAGATTATTGTACTTATATCATTTAAATGTCTGTATTATGCTGTTTTCTGATCTGTTATAATGCTGTCACCTCCTTAAAAACACACCCAGTTTTGAGCTTGAGAGATGTAGACAGACTTATAAACCAGGATTACTCAAATGTGTGAATGAAACAAAACACAACTCCAGGTTCGTTTTTGATGAGGTAACAGCATTATAACATGACTAAAAGCTCGCAAAGGGTTAATTTTATGTAATACAGGACCTTTTCAAAGACGCGCTATGTAAGTTATCTGGTGGAGGGTCCGCTACCTGGTTGTCTCCATCAAGATATTGCGTAATCTGGAATCTTCCACAGTATGGCTTTAAACGTTATGAGATGTTTCATTGCTTAGAAATACCATGCATTCTTGCTGTGAGCAGTTATTTATGTTTTGAGTTTTCTGTAGTGTGATTTTTAATATTAAGTGTATAAAATATAAAGTAGCTTGAATTATTTTTTGTACTCATTGTGGCTTTGTGGCAACACCTGCTCTTCCCTATTAAGATACGTGTGTTTAATGCCATATTGAGAAACATTCCAGACAAAACAATGAAATCCCCATCAAGACTAACAGGTGACTTCGATCATTGAAAACGTTATATAATGAGTTTAGTTTGTTTATTACCTGATTGACTTGCTCCTCCCTTTGATTTGTGATGTGTTTATTTCGCTTCCTCTTATCGTCTTCCAGTTTAAACAGGAAACGGTATGATTCACCTGAGGCTACCACTCCTACGGCTTCTCCTATTGCAGTTTGGCCTGTCTCATGCTTCCCATAGGGCCCTTGGTAAACAGAGGATGTAAATTTCATCTAGCTTTTGTAATAACACATTCATTCATAAAAAAGTCAGCACTTACAGTTTTGTTTTCAATGACTAATGGTGATTTCATATCCTGTGCATTTATGAGGCAATAAATTATCGGTAAAGTAAAAATAAATAGGCCACAACAGTGTTGGGAAGAAAATTAATAAACATAATGAAAATATTTATTCTGAGTACAAATTTTGAGTTGCTGTATTCTGGTACAGTTTGGTGGTATTCAGAATGTGGTTACTTTCCTAAATTAAAAGGAACACATGGTGGTACTTTGAACTGTGTGGTAATAGTGAAAAAAATAGAAAATATAGCTCTTACAGTGTGCTCATGTGTGATTTTTCATCTTTATTTAGACAAAAAATGAATGTATAACAACAAAAATGAAGTTATTTTTGATTTATATGACATGTTTTCTCACTATAATTTAAATGCAAATCGACGCTGATTGGCCCAAGTAACTGAATACGGTACAAATACATTTTAATTTGAGTATTCTGTAACTAAATACATTTTCAAACCACCAAATAAAGATGTGTGTATATTATAGTTGACTAATTTTGGTTTTTCAAATGACAAAATTTTGCAATCCTATCAAAAGATTCCCAAAACTGCAGTTCTTGTGGCTTAGTTCCTGGCCTGCACTGGTCAAAACCGTTCCAAAGAAGAAGCAGCGGTGAATCAGCAATGTTTGGTGAAGTATGAAGGGGGCAAAGGCTACTTCATGTGCGTTACACAACACAATAGGCCTGTCACAATAACATTTGAAGTATGATTTATTATTGCAGCAGAATATAGAGATATAAACTAACACAACAGCCCTAAAGCAGAATAATCTTGGTAAACCATTTCTGTTAAGTTGTGTTCATGCCCTTTGTAAATATAATAATTTCAGATAGTGAAAAGGGGCTGATATAACTCCAAATATCCAAACAGACATTTACAAACATCTACCAATCTTGAACTTTGCTTGTCGTTATTTGTTTGGCTCCGTAAATCTCCAATATTAATCTCATGTCTTAAAATCATTTCAGCGCACAACAGTTTTAAGGGTTGAATAATGGCACCACTTCTAAAGCCATTGTCAAAACACAATGTGAGATTAGAGGTTGAACTTTGTAGCAGTTTTTTATTTCCTGTAAATGATTTTAAAGTTGGTTTCTAGTTTGTCGAGGTAGATGGTAGTGTTGTCACGATGCAAAAATTTCAAACTTGATTTCGATACTAAGGAATGAACTCTATACTCAGTAGTGACTCTGATACCATGATGATAATAAAGAACACTTTTTATTTAGACAGTATAGTGTAATTTTTGACATTAAATCATTGCACTTTCATTTGCCTTTGCATGTATAATCCCACTGCCATCCAGGTGGGTTCCATAGTGGTCCATGAGCTATTACTAGTTTATTTGGTCTTATATTTGTTCAGGAAAACTTCATTTCTATCCCGTGAATGTGACTTTTTTAGTATCGATAGCTGCTCAAATGAGAATCTAGTTTTAATACTGTTTTCAGTTTTCATTATTGTCTGTTTTTTGATACTTTTAATAACCCTAGTAGATGATAGTAGATGTTTTGCCTTTGATTTAAGAACACTGTGCTCAGTTCATGTCCGTGTAAGCTGTTTGTGTGAACCTGACTTTCCAGTTGCAACTCTCTCCTCTTTTTGGCTCCAATCCTGCTCCCTAGTTTGATGTTGACAATTGCAACACATCTCACCACTTTCCACCTGCTCACGGCTGACATCAGTGTCATTCCTGTGTGATATTTGTTGAGATGAAGAAAACCAAATGAAATGGAATAGACTTTGCTGCGCAGCTCTTCTGGCCATAAACATAAGATCAAATGTCTAGTCCTGTTTCCTCGAGGGGTTATGCAATCATGCAGACGATCACACTAACTGATGTGTTGTGGGGAAAAGAGGGGCATGCTGGGAACTGTTTAGTTAGAACTATAAATAATAATTATTAATACACAAAGCAATGAAACAATATTGCCCAATCGATTGAGGCAAAATTTGAGACCTCGAGGTACAAGATATCATCAGAGAGTTAAATGAAAACAACTGGACTTAGTAATTAGCATTTTGATTCTTAACTTGGCAGATAGTTTCATCAGGGCCCTGGTTGGTAGTGAAACATTGGTTCCAAAATGTTAAGTATGTCCAGTTGTTTTCGTTTAACTCACTGATAATAAAATGTCACCCAATAATATCACAACAGCTATGCACATGCAAAGTAGTAAAAAGCCCACCTTTAAATGGTTTGTATTAATAATATTATATCACATTATTCATTTCAAGCAAGCTTTAAGTATTGAGTTGTATATGAATTCACTTTTGCAAAAAAAGTGGCAGTTATTTCAGGTATATTATTATTATTTTAATTGCCTTAGAATTCACAATAACACATTTTGAAGTATGTTATATATTGCAGAAGAAAATATAGATGATACACAATGAGATTTAAACTAATTGATGCCACTGACACAATAACTCCAAAAAAAATAATATAAAAAAAAATCCAGGATTACCTTTAGTAGTAGATTAGTTTGTATCTGTAATAATTCATAAACGTTATTTTTTCAACCCTCTACTGCTCAACTCTTACTGTAATACATAAAAATAACAAAAACATCCCCACTAGTACAAGGAAAAAGCCCACAGGATAAATATTGTCCCCCTAAAATGATTATTCCATTCAATCATCTGTTCCATCTGTACTGAACGATAAGTTGATGTAGTCATTATCGTCACAGGCCTACTCCTTTCTCCAATTATCCAGGCTTGGGACTGGCACAGGAAATTACAGTGGCTAGTATTATTTCAGAGTATATGGAGCATTTTCTAGAGCCTTGATTACTGAGGGCATGTTGCTCCTGTGATTTTAACAGCTTCCTCTCCATTACCTGATCTCTCTTCCACCTGCTCCTTCCTGTTCCCAAATCAATTAATTTAAAACTTGGAGCCTGTAAGCTATTATTATTCTGTTGCTGCTGCAGAGGCAAAAAGCCATAGAACGGTAATTGCTAAGACAGTGTTAATAAAAATCCCTTGCCAGGTTTTATCTAACTGGGCAAATGCATGTCGATTTTCAATTTGGTGACTAACATTCAGCCAAACCGCTTTAACCTTCAGAATTTTAAGCACAATGTTCCTTACCTTTATTGGAATACTGTAAGACATATTTTTAGTTTAGACATTTATCCATTTCCAGATGAAGAATCGGTTCATCATAATTTATTGCTTGTTTATTTTGTTACAGATTAGAAGTAGTTGTAGAGGTTTGGTGTGTATAGTAACATTTGAGAAGATTGAAAAATGCAATGAAGGTTTTAGATTAAAGGTACACTGTTTAACGTTTCTGTTGGGGGACCATCACTGTCTTATTTCTATGGATATGTCATTGCTCTGCTTCAGATGTTCCACAATATGACATTAAACAGATCTAAATTGCATTTATTCAATTACAGGTGGTTTTATTGCTCAAAAATACCTAGAAAACCAACCAAAACTACCAAAACTTGGCAAAAAGAAAGTGGCAGACCCTCCACCAAAAAGTTACATAGTGCACCTTTAACCTATCTTTTATTCCATGCTTTTGAAGGATCTTAAAGTAGGTTAATCAAAGTTCCTGCCCCCCGTGCGTGTTTCTGTGATGGAGCTTGCTGAGTGGCTTCTCTGATTGCTCACCTGATTTAAACAGTGCCATATTTCACGCTGAGATGAAAACAACAGCCCTCATTTGAAAGTCTATTCAAGTCCTAACACATGTAACATATTTCTGATTTTTCCATGGACTGTCTGGGCGGTGAATGACTCAGCTAAGTCTGTGTCACATTAAGACGAGTTTATATAAGAAGTTAAAAATGACCTTGTGTAGAGGCCGTAGCTGAATACACAAAGTGGCCACACACTACTTTTCACTCCTCTCATTGGAATGGACAATAAAACACACTATTTCTGGGTCAGAATCTTGGGTAACTATTTATTTTAGCTTAGCATCTAAGTAGCTGCTTATTTATATAGTTGTAAGTGGTAATTAGGTTAGTAAGAGTAATGTTTTGGTAAAGGTTAAATTGTACAATATCAACAAATTCCATATTACTTACTGCTTAATATTATGATGTTAAAGGTTGTGTAACTTCTCTGGTGGATCTTCTCTTCATGGACATGTTATTGCTTTGTCTGGAATGTTTCACAGTATGGTATTAAACCGTTCTATCTTCATGCAGACCAAACCAGGCCAAGTTACAGATCAGATCTGTGGAGAGGCAATAGGTCATAATGTTTTTCTAGTTATTTTTGAGCAATAAAATCACCTATATTGAAAAAATGTAAGGTAGAGTTGTTTTAATGTCATATTGTGGGACATTCCAGTGGAAGCAATGGCATATCCATAGAAATAAGCAGGTAATGGACCTCCAACCAAAGTTAGATAGTGTACCTTCAAGACACTTTTGTACATTAATTATGATCTTAAAGGGACAGTTCGGAATTTTGGACATAGGACCTCATTTCCTAGTGAGCCAGAGTGTTGGAGACGTGTGGAGACCCTTTTTTAAATATTCCATCCAGTCCTTGTATTTGCAGAGGTCGCTGGTGCTAGGCTAGTGCATGTCAATGGCCTTAGTTAGCCTGTCACTAAAAAGAGTCTTTCCCACTCCACAAAACACCTGAAGCAAGACTGGTTTTACTTCTAAAATTATTCTATCGACACAGACATTCACATCAACAGTCTGGTGCAATAATAGATGTGCTTCAGGTGCTTTGTGGAGTGGGTAAGGCCGTTTTTAGTGGCAGGATAACTATGGCCATTGGCATGCACTAGCCTAGCACCAGCGACCTCTGCAAATACAAGGACTGGATGGAATATTTTAAAAAAGTGCCTCCACACATCTCCAACACTCTGGCTCCCTAGGAAATGAGGTCCTATGTACACAATTCCGAACTGTCCCTTTAATAGTTGTCTTTTTTTTTTGGTAGCAAGGGCGCGATGTCTAATTAGCGGCAGAATAAAATTATGCAGAACAAGACTAGAACAGAGTAGAATAAACAACAAATTAACATCAAATTAACCTGCTTACAAACATGCAAATTTGCAGCTAGTTAGATGTTAATAAATGTACCCTAAAATAAAATGTTACAGTATTCTGAGTTCCTCACAGTTCTAAGTTAAGATGTAATTTAAGTTATCTGCTTCTTGCATTTTTTTCCTAATCCAAAAGTGCACTGTTATGTCATGTCACAGGAATGCTATCCTTTCTACACGGATTCGTTGGGGATTATACACATTTTTTTCAGTAGGTGTAAAGTAATGAAATGCTTTTATTAGTAGGCAGTAGGGAATCAGATGATAATCAATAATAAAACTATTACCAAAAGTAGAAAACTTCTGTTGTCTAAAGAAAGAGTTTTTTTTTTTATGTTATTGTTGTATCAGAATCAATATCGAGTTTATTCCTTAGTATTGCTAAGGAAGTAGGCAGATAGTGTATTCCATCAATAGAATTATGTAAGTAAGTTGTAATAATAATAATAGGTTAGTGGTGCTATTACTTAGTCAAAGTACTTCATCCACAGCACTATTTAATTACTGTACCGTAGTGAACTATAATCTTTACGACTCCTGTGCTGGAGCTCGTTGTGTTGCGTCATCACAGAGTCATTTGGCAGCTACAGAAATGAAAGTTATGAGTGACAGCCAAATGAACTCATTTTTTATGGTCTGATGGAGTTTTTCCACTGCGCTGCTATAAATCTTTGTACCCCTGTCGATGTTTATTGTTTATTCTCCCATCTGAGTGTCATTACAATAGTGTGAGCAATGGTTCATAAATCCAGATGACACTCAAGGCAAGTCGTTCCCAAATCTGAAGAAATTGCATCAGTAACTACATCTGAAGCAAAACCCAAATCAATACAGAAGTCTGTGCACTCCTGGTTAAATTAGAAATAAGAAACCATAGGAAAAAGGGCTTCTCTTATTAAAGGTTTTGTATTATGTAAAATTAATATTAAGCTATGTCAGAATGTTGTTACCTCATCAAAAACATACCTGGAGTTGTGGTTTGTTTTGTTTGCACTTGTTTGATTAACCCTTTATTATTAGTCTGCCTACATCTCCAAAGCTTAACGTGCTCTTCTCCACTTTGTGATGTCATGTAGTGGTAGTTTTCAAGAAGCAGCTACATTTTTACCTTTAGTTCAGTAGAGATTCCAGGGCTGAAATCGTGCAAATGAGTCTAGTGAAGGTGTATGGTGTTTTTAAAAACATGGAGTGGAGTGTTGAAAGAAGAACTCAGGGTAAATATGCAGGGTTTCTGTGTTAAATGTGTGTGAATGAAGCAAAACACAACTCTAGGTATGTTTGTGACGAGGAAACAACATTATGGCAAAATATGGGCCCTTTAAATGCTCTTCACAGATATAAAGAGTTCATGAATTAGTCCAAGTCTGTTATGTTGAAATTCTTTTTTGGCGTAAACATGTTGGTGTAATCCTGAGTCTAAAGTGAACTATAAAATGCTGTTCTTATCTCTTCCTTAGTGTCCTCTACGAAGGCAAAGAGCGGCTGATCCAGGGCTGTGAGGTGATCCAGGCCACACCGTACGGACGCTGCGCAAACGTCAACAACAGCTCGGCCACGTCACAGCGGATCTTCATCACCTTTCGCCGCGCTCCCCCTGTCCAGCCCCAAAACTCCCTCGCCGTCACTGACATCTGCATCATCGTCACCAGCAAAGGGGAGACTCCGCCCCACACCTTCTGCAAAGTGGACAAGAACCTCAACTGTGGCATGGTCAGTGGTTAAGACTCATTTGCATCAATATTTAATCAAAAGAGAAAGAACATGGTGTCTTATGTAAAATGTGGTTTTCCAGTGGGGCTCCAATGTGTTCCTTTGTTACAAGAAGTCTGTGTCCTCGGCCAATTCAATCAGTTTTAAAGCTGGTAAGTACAAAAATAATTCTCAAAATGTCAAAAAAATAATTAGAATCTGGTACAAATCAATACTGCAACTAATATCAAAACCTAGATACTGAGCAAGTATAAAGACTGCCAAAAAAAATCACATCATCAAAATAGAATTTGAGCTTTCCTGAACAGTTTTAGTAAGCATTTCAGCTTTATCAGACCTTATAAGACCTCATGGTTAGGTTAGGTTAGGTTGCTTTATTCGTACCCATAGGTAAATTTGTTTTGCAGATTTGAGAGGCAGTTCCCACATTTCACATTTCACTCATCCACATCATCATCAATAAAAACGTATAAAACCTTAATTACAAAATAAAGTGTTACAGTGCTCCTGTGCAGAATGGTTTGTTCCATCAACAATTTGTTAAATTCATTCATCACGCTTGACAAAAATCAAAATAAATATAAAGTATATAAAAAACCACACAATTTTTCCAAGACAGATGTACTAAAAGTGATAGATAAATAGATAACAATTTATTCATAAGTATGATAGTGGCTGGAATGAAGCTCCTTTTAAAATGATTCGTTCTAGATCTTGGGGTTATAAGCCTCATGGTTACATAAAGACTGTACTATTACTAGCTTTATGTTGAAAATTACATTCTAGTTCTAAAGAAGTAGCATTTCTTTTAATCTTCATTGTGGCATAGTAATCGAAATCAAATCTTAAATATTGTTATTATGACCACGCTAGTCACTGTATTATACCCATAACAGATACACATTAAAAAGGTGCGCCTTTGTTTTAACAAAGGTGCACCTTTGTCAAAACAAAACCATCCATTAAGTCAGATGGATATCTCATTGCAGATTAATAAATCAACTGACACATAATTTTTTGTCTATATTTATTTATTTTTGCACAGTCCGTTTGTAATATTTCAAATCTTTATCAATGATCGTACAACAGATAGTCGTTTCTCATTAAAATTGACATTTATGAGGTCTGCCAGAGCATTTCCCCAGTCGCTTGGCCTTTGAAACCTGTCCTTGTGTAACACGCTCTCCATCAGATTCATATAAACATGTACACAAACTCCCACCTCTAGCCTTTCCCCGGGTTTATCTCAACACTGCGCTCTTTCCTGCAAAGCAACCGTTTATTCATGTGAGGCTATGGGCCCTTCCTGTCACGCCTCTTATCCATGCTTGTACAGACTTGTGTGCGTACGGAAACAATTTAGGACTTTGTTAGCCAAAATTGAATGACTAAGTTGCTTTATTTTCCTAAAAGTTATTGGTATCAAAGATTGTACTTGGATCAAAGAAGATATTGTGTTACAGTGAAAAGGGGCTTAGTTTCATATAATATTTGATGATTTTTAGTTGGTAATATGAACGTTTAGTAACTACTGGAACTTTGTTAGTCAGAATTGAATGAATAAGTTGCTTTATTTTCCAAAAATTTATGGGTATCAAACATTGTACATGGATTAAAGAAGATATTGTGTTGCACTGAAAAGAGGCTTGGTTAGATATAACATTTGATGATTTTTTGTTGGTAATATGAACGTTAGTAACTACGCAGAGTTGTCCAAATTTGAAACCCACATACTGATAAATACTTCAACTTGTATTGAACTACACATAATTTGATCTAGCACATACTTGGAAAATAAAAGAAACATTAACAGGACAAATTTTTAATCTTCTTGGATTTCCTTCATTTCAAAATCAAGTTTAAATAGGCTTGGACAACAACACTATTAATAGTAGTAATAGCTATTGATTACATTGTTAAGGTCAAAGCATATTTGAAATGGTTCTATTCCATGCTGAGGTATTGATAGTGCATTTATAATTTCACTTATGAGTTTAAAGGTGGACTATGTAACTTTTATGGTAGAAGGTCTGCCATATGTCCATTATTACTTTGCCAAGAAAGTTCCACAATATGGAAATTCATCTTACCCATCTTATATTTATTTGTACATTTATAGTATATTATAGTATGTCTATTACTGTTGGGGTTGCCTATCCACAGATCTGAGCTGTAACTTGGCCAATTTGCCTTCATGGAGATAGAAAAGTTGAATCTCACAGTGTTTAACATTCCAATACAGGCAAAGCAATAACATCTTAATTAAGACAAGCAGGTGATGGACCCTTCATTGAGAAGGTTACATAGTTTTACATTTTTCATTTACCACTGAACCAAATCTAAATCTGTGGGGTTTTGTTATTCTCGTTTTTAATTGTTGCATGTATAGCCTCCCTTACAAATCATAAAACGGTCTATCTTTTGGTTTGAAGGTCTGATCTTCCGATACCCTGAAGAGGACTACGAATCGTTCCCTTTGTCAGAGTCAGTTCCTCTCTTTTGTTTGCCGATGGGCGCCAAGATTGAGTGTTGGGCTCCAAACACTCGGGACCCTCTCCCAGTGTTCTCTACTTTTGTTTTAACCAATTCCTCCGGTGAAAAGGTGAGTTTACCCGTTTAAGTGACAATTTTTACTTTAAAATGTAACTCACCAACAATGAACCCTTTTTAGTCCAACCCAAAATGACACACGTGAGGAAAAAATCTCACAAGATCATTTTTCTCGAGATCTTGTGGTGCGAGATCAGGTCCCATCCATTTTTAATTGTTACAAATTAATCATAGCAGGACACAACAGAATTTATGCTGTTAAAAAATTATAATGCAGTTTATGAAAGAACACAATGCCAATTTTATTTTTGAAAATATATCCCCTTATTATTCCAGCTGATTATTTTCTGTAACTAAAATTACACCCTAATTAAAACTGAAGCTGTTTTTGAACCCTTGAATATGGACAAATGGCCAGGCTCTTTGTGGAGCTGACATTTTAATTTACTCTATTTGGACATTACAACAGCTGTGCACAGAATAAAATCATATTTCAGCTCTCACAGAGATATCAATACCATCTACCTGTGAGGCCTAAATCATCGTTTATACTTATATGGGGGTAAATATAAGGATGTCAAAGCTGAAGCCAGTAAAATAGGTTTAAGTACTTCAGGTTAAATGTAAATTAAAGACCTATAACATTTTTAGTTGTCACGTTTAGGCGTTGAAATGTATAATATCTTTTGTGATTTGGATTATTAGTGTACTTGATGTTTACAATCCTTAATATTTACAGAGGGATTTTACTTCTATAGGGTATTAATTGCTAATACTTAATATATTTATCACATTGCCTTTTATTGTTTTGAGAATTCACAGAAAACATGCTTTTTAACTTTTCACATTCCTTTTCGAGGCTCTGAGTCCACCTTTGCTCTCCAATGTAACGTGGCAAAAAGCTCCAAAAAGTCGATTTTACTCCCTCTTTAAGAAGGTCATACTAGCCCCAGTAGCTCCCGTCTGTTTAAGTTTTCATTCATGTATAAATATTGATGACGTGCTGCATTCTTAGGTGTATGGAGCTGCGATTCAGTTCTATGAGCCATACCCAGTGGATTTGTTGAGTGAAAAGCAGAAGATCCAGCTGGGCCTCCTCACCACAGTGGAGAAGAAGATGATCCCAAACCGAGCGGTCAACACCAACAAGTGCATCTGCCTTCTCTCCCGGTGGCCCTTCTTCAAATCCTTTCGCAAGTTCCTTTTGTTCCTGTACAAGCTGTCCTTCTCTGGCCCTCACCCTCTGCCCATAGAAAAGTGAGTGGATTTTAGATTCAGACGTTCTTGACATTTTGACCATCTGCTTCTTTGGATCACATTGATTGGAAAGATACTGACAGTTATAAACCAGCAGCACTGCACCAGAGGAACTATTTTGAAGATTAAACATTTAATCGTTGCAATTATCAAATTAAAGGCTGTAATAAAAAAAAATTGGCACTAGCTAACCCTGAAAAACTCTACCCTGTAATACATGATTTATTCTTTCTCTTCCAAAGGCACATTTCTCACTTCATGCACAATGTGTCCTTCCCTTCACCTCAGAGACCACGGATTTTGGTTCAGGTAATTTATTTATATATATTTTTCTAATTGCAAATGACTATCAAAATGTAATCTGTTTAAAACTAACCTGTTTTGCCCTGTGTTTTTATTGTCTATAGTTATCTGCACACGACACGTTGATCCTTTCCCAGCCAGTGTCTACTCCTTTACCACTGAGGTATTTTTTTGGAATTGTAATGAATAGTTATATTACTTTAATGTATAACCAAGAAAACACAGAAAGAATACCAGTATACTGTTGACCAAAATGTTTGGGGTTACAACTGCTTTAAAACATGTTATATGTTTTTTAGATTTTAGTGCTGACATGGGGCCATTACAATAACACAGCAATATTTTATACTGTGATAAACAATATTGAGAGTATTGTAGACCGCTTCACTTCATGGCAGTGATACTGTTAACCTATTACATGAAAAGGTCAAATGTAATTGTAGCTGTAATGAATATATATTTTTTATTACCGGTAATAAATTATAGGACAGAAATTGCTTTTTATTATCAATAAGTTATAGATATTTTCATTATTTGACTGTTCATAAGAGATCAGTTTACAATGGAAAGGGTCCATGCAATGGCCTAAATAAACATTCAGTCAAAAATACATATTCATCTTTTTCACTATGTTGTATATATGTAGTCAGTATAGTAATTAATGTGACTGTTGGCTAATCCTAGCTATTTTGTGACTGTAATTTTATGTTAGAGAGACTTATTTAATAGCACAAATCAGCTCACATGTTGTAGTTCCAGATAAATCAGTTTAAAGTCTAATAAAGCCTCAGACAGAGCAGAGCCTACAGTTAGCATCACCCTTATATTTTGTTTTGTTTTTTTCCCAGTGGAGCAGACTATGGCACTCTGCTGATTAATCTTGGGGCTGAAAACTGTGCCACGCTGTTGCACTTTATTTTACTGGAGAATAAGATCCTTCTGCACTCTCTGCGTCCGGACGTGCTCACCGGCGTCGCGGAGGCTGTGGTTGCTGTAAGTAGTCTGCACACAACACATTTACATGGCTATTTAGACGTGCTTATCCTATTAATAGTGAGGCTATAGGGGCATTCCAGGTACACTGTATAAATATAAGGACATTGTGATTGGCCAGTGGAAATGGGGTCAATTATTGTAATAGTTAGTGTATAATGATTGTTCTGTGGCTATTTTAATGTACATCCAGAACTATTTTGAATAAAGGAGTAGGTACCATTGTGAGATGGAGTTTAAAGGTGCTTTATGTAACTTTGTGGTACAAGTCTAGCACATGTTTGTATTTACCACAGTACGGCATTACACTTGCTTATTGTGTAATTATAGATGTTTTGATTTTCTTACAATACAATGATATCTTGAAAAACGGGGTCCATCTCTTCACAAATCTGACCTGTAAATTGGCTAGGTGCTTGTATCCATGGAAATAGAGCAGACATGTCAAACTCAGGCTTGGGGGCCAAATTTGGCCTGCGATATAATTATATTTGGGCCGCGAGATCATATCAAACATGTATTAGAGCTGACGTGCCAGATACAGATAGGCTATATTTGTTATTATGCTTCTTTTGGATTCAATGCTTGAGCAAAAATATTATTAAACATTTATTTTAATAAGAAAGGGTTTAATATTACATATCTCGAAAGAAGAGAAAACATGGAGATATTGTTGAAATTTTTCAATAAATATTTAGTCTGGCCCATGACTTAGTCCCAGTTTTTAATTTCGGCCCTCTGTGAATTTAAGTTTGACACCCCTGAAATAGAGAGAGATACTGTGCAAAAAAGTTCTAGGTAAACCAACAGCTCCATGATGACAGACCCTCCTCCCAGAAAGTTACACAGTGCACCTTTAAGGGGAATTGACATTAGGGGCCTTTAATGGTTTTAGTCCATGTTTGAGCTCTGCAAGTTTAACATTGCAAGTGTGTCAGTGCCTTGGTTTATGCTTCATAGTTGGTTACTATTGGTTACTAAAATGGTTTAATTTCTTTGCTTTTTTTTTTTTTTTTTTTACAACCATTTTTATTGGCCTTGTGACATTGATGGTAGTACTAAATCACTACTGCTATGTAATGTTTGTTTGTGTACTGTTATTTAAGTTTTATAAGTTAGTAGAGAGTTTGCTCTTATTGTATGTGACCACAATATTTAACCTTTTCAATCCTATGTAATACTACCTCTTAAAAACAACAACATAAAAGCGACATAAGCTGTAATTTATTTAATCACATATCTGTCTCCAAAACACAACTGTGAGATCAAAATTACAGGTATCAATGTGAAACTGAAAAGAGCTGCTTTGCGTTGTTTATTTGGCTTATCTAAACTTCAACTTCGAGTTTGTTGAGATTTACCGGTAGCTATTGGTTGTGCCATTCAAAACACTGTGTACTCTGAAAGACATAGCATTTCACAATACCTCAAAATTCCCCCAAAAGCCATGGACAGTCTCATAGTTAACAGAGACAATAAGCTAAATTAATTCAATCTTGCATTTTTGTATAATTTTGAAGTGGAATTTTGCCTTTGTTCTAATATGATTCTTTTAAATGTTTTTGCAGATGCTATTTCCGTTTCAGTGGCAGTGTCCCTACATCCCCCTTTGTCCACTCTCTCTTGCTGGTGTTCTCAATGCTCCATTACCTTTTATCGTGGGTGTGGATTCTCGCTATTTTGACCTTTATGATCCCCCGCCTGATGTCGTCTGCGTGGACCTAGACACCAATACCATTTACCTGTGAGACTGAAATCATTGTTTATACTTCACATAAATCAAACAAAGGTTAAAGAACATGATATTCTAGGGATTTTGGTCGTCTTGGTAAATTACTGTTTCACTCCACTGCAGATCTGATGAGAAGAGACACAGCAACTGGAAAAATCTCCCTAAAAAGCCCAGCAAGAGTCTGGTGAACTCTCTGAGCAACTTGCACCACCAGCTGGCCACAGGTGGGAACAACACCAAATGCCATAATAAAAAAGGAAAACTGAATAATGTTATATAATCATTTTATCACACGGAAATATTAATAGCTTGGAATAAGAATGTTAAGATATTGCAAACTAAAGTAAGAATGTTGTGTCATCGCAAGGTAACTCAAAAGCAAAACCCTTTTTTCTTGAAATAATAGGTCATAAATACATTAGATCATATTCATAATACAGTTAATGCTGAATTTTGGTTTATTATAAGATTGGTCTGAATTAAGTTTTAGATCCACCCTTCACAAAGTAGTAGTAGTAGTAGTTAGTAGTAGTAGTTGTAGTAGGAGCAGTAGTAGGAACAGTAGTAGGAACAGTAGTAGGAGCAGTAGTAGGAGCAGTAGTAGGA